CTGAGTTTAAATCATTCCAAGCTTGTTTTTATACGAGAGGTATGCACGTCATGCGCTCCCGTTGTGGCTTCCTATTTACGACAAGTTGGGGAGAATCGGTTTCGAGTTTTTTTTCTTTTTCCGAGAACGAGTAAAATGTTACAGCATGTAACCAACGGTCAGGTAAAATTGTCACACTTACGGAATACGAAATATGCTATGCTGTCGAAACGGGAGAAAGTGCCTACACTTTAAATTTCACGGAGTTTATTTTTATTTTTATTAATATTTTATACTACACAAAAAAAAAGACTTCCAAATGATTAATGGAGATGTTTCGTGATGAAATGCTCGCCCGTTCAAGTTTCACTGTACTGTTGGCCCGTTGGCGCTGAGGAGATCCAATATTATTCACTGCAATGCGCTCCCGGCACACTGGAAAGATTCAGACTAATTATAAACAAGCGTCCTATGATGTTACATACACATATGGAAAAATTCTTCGCCGGGAAATGTACATCTAGACGTTTTAGCGTTCGAGTATATAGACGACTGCACGTATATGAAAGGTCGTGACCCCAAGGCCCGACATTTTCTTGATTATCGTGTGTAGTAGTAAAATTTTATGGCTGCAAAGGCAGATTGGGTTTGAGCATTAAACGATGACGAAGATGGATGAGATATGTAAACGGATTTGGTCAACTACTGAGCTGTCTGAGTCTTACCTTCGTTTCCCTGTCTTGAAAGAAACGAAAGTTTACACGAACGTGGGGGTTGCTATGGTGATAACAAAGTCAGCTGGAAGATCACGTGATTCGAACAGGCTTTCTTCTCGCGTTGCTGCTGTGTTCGCTATGTAGCTATATGAGTGTTTCAAACAAATCACTTTAAATTTAATTTACCAGGTAAACGTGCAATCGAGCGAATTAATGACGCAATTGACATTTATTAGTGTACATGTGTACAGTCCACGTGCTAGATCCGGGTGAGGGTTTTCTTCGAGTTCTCGAGAGCTGTTGTACCGGTAGCTCCGCATCGTACACGATTAACTTAATAAATTGCTGCATCGAAATGTAACAAAACGACACAGATTTAAAAATCACGTACATCCAAACTTCTAAGGCCCTTCAGAAAAATAAACGCCGTGAGAATATAGATTTCGATTACGTCATAATTTACGTCATTGCCGTATCCTTGACCACGCTGTGCAAATTACGGCATATATACGCTTCCAACACCGGGTGAATACTGAAAACGTTTTCTAGTCAGCGCCTCGCTTTGAACTGTAAAATACGGGTGTCGAGGTAGTAAAGATTTTACGATTCCCTTGGTTCATCAGTCGATCGGCGGTCATTCAAGAGAGACGGGCGGCTTGTCAGGGGCAAATTGGTTACCTACAGGAAGTTTTATACAATCGCGTTAAAAAAACAGCATGCCACGTTTTTTTTACATAATAATTATTTGTTGATCTGTGTTAAATAAAGGCCTTGATAAATAAAGGAGACGGCACAAAGGCGTAATTCCTTGACAATCACGAACAAACAAACAAATAAAACTCGTACAAAAGAAAGGGATAATAAGTCAAGATTGCAATGTCAAGATTTTCTCACAGGAAATAGTAATAAAAACGGGAGTTCTGATACAAATCAACGATCCCAACTAATAATTCATGGCAACTAAGTTATGCTTCAGGTGCGGTGCCTTTTACATTGCATGCCATTTGATCCGTTTGTTCAACATTCATTCATTCATTCATTCATTCATTCATTCATTCATTCATCCAAGTGAAAATCTGTTGTAATAAAGGATTCGTAGACGCATCGGACAGATTGTCTCCTGTTGTTGGTGTGTTTTACTGGAAAATGATGTACTAACGGCGTACCAATAAATAGATCGTACGCATGACCCCCAAAAGGTCACACATCCTGGTAATTTCCGGTGTACGAATTCACTATCTATGATAATTTGTCAAATATTTTCACAACAAATGTAATCAATTGACATTGAAGACCAAAAACTGTAAAACATGGAAAGAAGGAAGTATATCATTGGACATTATTGCTGCTACAAGGTAACAATTCCCCCCCCCCAGGAAATGCGAGGATGTGCGACCTTTAGAGGGCATGCCTGCTGTCAGCGTCAGCGCAGAGTCGCCCCTTTAAATATGCAAATATTCTATTTACTTATTCCGCTGAATGGCAAACTAGGATTCGTGTTGCCGCATGCGCAAGTTAGTCCGAGTGGAATGAGACAATTAAATGACCCGCACCTTATAATTGCGATAACAAAATAAGAAACAATGAAAATCTTATTCTTTGCAGTCGACTTTCAATGAACAACTTATAACGTAATGTGACACGGCATCGAGACCCATCGCTACCCCGAACCATGGAGCTCCCTTTCTAACTCCATGCCCGAACCAATCGACGACGGCGACAAACTGATCGACCTGTTTTGAAGAAAATACCGAAATACAATGACCTTACTAAATACATGTAGTCCATTCAGTGGGCGGACGATCGTAAATAGGTCAATTCATCTAGTGTTGATGATGAGTTGTTTTTTCTCGATTTTACTGAGTTTAAAGTTTATAACCAAAACCATATCCAGGTGAAGGTTGCCACGGCAAAGGACAATGCACGAGTGGAGTGCATTATCTGGCTTGCAACACGCCAAGCACACCTGGGGGTTTGTACTAGCCAATCACTAGCCAATTCAAAATGTGTACACGTGTTGTCGTGGTCTCTAAAATGTGTGGATTTTGTATCTAGATGACTGGCGAGTATTATCTCAATAATGCTCCGCGGGCGGGCATTATTTACACTATTCCCCGCGGAAAAGGCATTATCTAGAGAATCTCCCACACTGGTATAATAAGTCAGAGAATGCTCGCGAAAACAGAATTAGATCACGTGCAGTATTGTAAATACATGCAGTCGTAATGCCATCGTTGTAGTACTCAGTACTATTTCGAAATCATGGCTAACTAACACTGCTGTTTTTCGGGGGTATGCGTTGTTTTGGGGACTGAATCGTTCGATGTAGTGTGTTACTGACATGTTATTGTTGTCAATCAATTGAAACTGTATTTCTAAGGATGCAATAAATGTACTATTACTATTATTGCCATCACTGTGTTCATGCAACACAAAGAGACGCCAAAAACACGGAAATGTGACAAATACAATATCGAAAACACTATAGCCCCGGCTAGCTCACTTTAAAACAACTGACACTCGCGGTAAAAGCAAAAAAACCCGCAGTATGTGGACTTAGTTAGCCATTGATGTCTTTGTGCAGACACCAAGACTATGCGCAGCCATCCCTACGTATATAATGAAAAATCCCGACGAAATGTGGCCCAATCGGCAACAAGCACTGACGACGTCATTGCGTGCTGCCTCTCGTATCCTACGTTATAGTAATAGATTCGCACCTTTCACGCATAATGCCCAAGAATGTCGAGGTTTCAGTATATAGGTGTTATTGTGTGCACCCACAGCAGCGTTCTTAACAACATTGGTCTTCGCGATAACATGCTAAACTTGTGATAGGGGTGTTAAAATATCAGGCGATCACTACAACGATTGTCCCCGAGAAGGCCGCATTTTCGTAAAGATGAGGCATAATCAGACAGCTATGATAATGCTTGGTTTAGTATTTACTCAGACAACACACTATACACCCATATCACGGTTGATTCTACAAGACTCATATCATCAGCTACATTAGCGCACGCTCAATTGATTACTTAAAACACAAAAATGTTTAGTCATTCAGAAGGCAATTTCATTTAATTATTATGACATCGCCACCAGTGTCACCCCGTTACGTTACGATAACGTGACGTTCTCTTGTATTGGTTCATCCCTTTTTCGCTTGCTCCAGAAACGAAGCGCAGTCGATCGATGCTGACTGAAAGCAACAGTTAGAGACGGCTCTTTCGCTAGGCTCGTCGATAAATGGCACGTGAAATGTACACACTCACGTAACAGATACTATCGGTGCAACAATGATGATGAGTCAAACGGACAGAAAACGACATAGATTGATGGTTTTCTATAGTTTAAAAACACACTATTCAAGGTTGGGGGAATGTTACACAATGGACACAGCCAGCTCGATATAATTAACACAATAGGGCGGGTGAATTCAAGTGTAAGGGCGGATAAATTGTTGGACAGTATACATTTAACGATATTAGTTGCGTTGAGCGGAATACTAGTATATGTACGTAGCTTTGGCGATCGGGCACTTGCGAGCCCGCTCGTTATCGTACGAAACACAAAGAGGAGGGAAAATATTAACGAACTCAGGCTCAGCGTCTGTATTTTTTTCTTCCTATTTCAAAGGGAACATGAATGTGAATGCTGGGAGCGCTGTTAACAGTCTAACTGGGCGGTGCTTACTATGTGTATGACTCGTTATAATCCCTTTGATTGGAGTCCTATTACAGAAGTATTCAAGCCGCCGTATCGCCAGTTCTTTGCACCCATCGACACGGTTCACTTCCCCTCTGTACTGGACTCGCTACAGTCCGTTGACAACGTTGATAGAAAATTGCATATATATATGTTCTTTGGGTAGTCAGTGAGTTTACCTGGTTTATCACCTCAACTGAACCGGCTGCTTTCTCCTTGGCACCCAGTTAAGCGTCAACAAAATTTTTATATTTGATTGACAAGCACAAAAAAACGACGTATGAGTGTCGTGTATGTGGTCTTATTCCGCCAGCAAGTCGTACGTGCTTTAGAACTCTACCGTATAATTAAAACGTTATACTTTAAGCGCCGCCGCATTGGATCGTCTTCGAAGCGATCGTTGGACTATATATCTCTCTCTCCGATATTATTATTAGCTCGTGACTGTCTTGGGGATATATATGCATGTAGAATAATCAACAGACGCGCAAGGACATATTCCGGGAATACGGCGAAGATACAAAGTGTCTCCGATTAAGTTTGTGCGTCTCACTCTCGCCGAAGTCGCATGAGCGTAAGATCCACTGCTCAGTGCCAATCATGCAACAGTCCAGGTATTACTCAGTCAGCCACCGACTCATTGAACTGTTCATCATATTTACGCTACATCTCTGTGTTATTTCAGGAAACCCCGGTTGGCTGTGAGTATCACTTATTTAATAAGGCGTTTAATGTTACTTTCTGCGCTATTGATGGACATGTAGAGAGAATCACCATTCATTTTAACGATTTGTTCATTTTAATGACGATGACCTCTCCTAAAACTTTTTTTTTACTTTTCATTCCACAATAGTGGTTTGGATATATTTTTTTTATCACGATATAAGTTTAAGATCGTTTCCTGAAACCGCCGACTGTCGAATTATATATGTATCTGCGTAGGTGAGTGTATTCATCACTGAGTTGCTTATCACTGAGTTGCGTCTCATTGCAGGGCGATATTTCGCGTTTCATCGATTGGAATCAATACAATCGATGACGAGGATAAATGCGAAATGCTACCGGGCCTTATTAACAGACAAATCCAGGTGTGTAAACGGAACGTTGAGGTGATGAACAGCGTGGCCGAAGGAGCAGATATGGCAATATCCGAATGTCAATACCAATTTAAAAACCGACGGTGGAATTGTTCAACCGTTGACTCCATTTCTGGGACATCGCTCAAAGGGCCGGTGTTTGGGAAGGTCCTCGAACGAGGTAAGTTTGCTCAAAATGTTTTTGATAGGGACTTTCAAGCCAGGTGTTACGTTTTTTCTCGGTGTATCACTATGAGCGTGTATACACATATTATGCTGTATTCGGGGTTCGTCTCATACACATACATCAGTGGAGAAATATTAAAGCGCGGTGGTCGTCGCGCAGCGCGTGTTCGAATTTCATGTAAATAAACAATGTATTTTACACGCGTTGTATACGTCGCTATGAGTCCCATATCGAACAGGACGCGGCACGACGACTGCCGTCCCTTAAGCTCCCAATGAATGAACACGTTAAAATGATTTAGAGAAATCTGATCCAGATTTATATTCTTCCCACGAGGTCCCTCCAAACGTATAACCATAAAATCCATCCTTGTCACTGACACTTATTATTCATTACATTTACCTTTCTGTAAAATAAAAATTAAAAGCCGAAGAAAAAAAAAATATTTCGATTAGTTCATGACAAATTTGAAGTGACATGAGCTGATTGAATGTCTGCCGTTTTGATGGGTCGGCACTCTTTGCTTCGACCCTCACTTCACCATGCTCCGCGCGGTTCCCGGTCACGACCGGAATACGTAATTTAAAATGATGCGCACAGGCCACGTACTATATAAATCTAACTGGCGGTACCTTGTGTGTCATTACCGAGAACGGCTGAATTACAGTCAAGGATATACTTACGTCGGCCATAAACATATCAAACTGAAAAAAAAAAGTTGTTCTTACCTTGATTGCAAGCGCCGCTGCGGATTAACCTGCGAAGGGATTAATTTATTAGTGTGCTCATGTGTGAATGTGTAATGCGGTTAAGTACGATAATGTATTCGACGCGTATTGACACAGCACTATAGTTGTTTGTGTTTATCAAGGAATTCACGATTACAGCGTGAAATTTGTAGCGAGACGTCCCGTTATGTAAATTGTTAGTTGTTTGTCACCGTGTAGATCGTATTATTTGATCGCTACACCGTAGTTGTAAATCACAGCGAGAGAGAAACTCTAACGTCGTGAACATTAAAGTTGATCAAACTTCCATTCAAAAGGCCAAAAAAATCAAGGAATAATAGTAACTGTGTTTGTAAACGCATCAGACCGAAACGATGAACCGGGGTGCACACAATACAAACTTCACAGACTCAAGAAACATCAATGACGCGTTTAACGGTCTAACGCCGTGTGCTTAAAATGTATCGGAAATCTCTGATGTCTGCCTCAAGCCGTGACTTGAAGAGATGGGGAATAATTTCGATGCATATATTTATATATTAGAATAACTTCGCCAATCACCCTGAACGCATATCGGCGTATCGTGGTGAAACTTGACGATTGCACTAATAGGCCGGTATGTTTATTTGGAAGACTAGTTAGGGTATGTGAACTGGGTAACCCAATGAGAAGGCAAGCCAGCCACCTAAGCTATTGCATTTGTAAGAGTTAGTCATGTGTGGGCATGGGGGCATGGGAAAACAAGAAAACAAATAAAAAAAACTACTTTGAAATGCATAATAACAAAGAGAACGAGACATAAACCGGTATGCAATGATGAGGCCAAGATATCGCGTTGACATCATTGAAGTGATGGCAACATTCCGTGGTCTCGCGTTACCATGGTTATCCCATATTTAATCTTCTTCACACGTGACTATTGTTAGCTGTTTTGTTTAACACGGCTTAACCCATGTTGTCGCGCTTGTACCGAATACCGTCCGTTAGAAATGAATACGTATAGGGGCAAGGGATCACGGCGAACTTTCACCTTTCGTTCGAGCTTGTTAGTGATTCGTCAATGCTTGACTACCTGAAATGAAATGGAAACTTCTACTAAGGGACCACAGTAGTTGCGTGTTTCCATGTCACCCCGCCTCCATGCGCTCTACGATAGCGGTTTTGCAATGGAACACACATGTAGCCCTCAAAATATAAATTCGATTGAAGCGGGCGGGCGGGGGATTGGTGGTGGCGGCGGTTGAAGTGCCGTATGGTTATGCAATTCATATACGTTTGTATTATAATACTAGAATATATCGACGCGAAAATGTCAGGGTGCCCCCACAACCTTGTATACGTCTAGCAATTTTGTTCACGGCTTTGTAAAATGTTACAATAGCGCTTGGGTAAGTGATAAAGGGCACTAGTGTACTTCGTGTGTTATAAACAAAGTAATCTAAGACGGACGTTTAACACGATATCAATTTAATATACTATTTCTCGTGTTTGGGGTTGTTAGTTTGAAAAAAAAGCTACATCCCAAGAAATGGCGGTAATATAGGATGCAATTCGAACGGATAATCGCTGTTAAGTTTACGCTTTCGTAAATTCAGATTTTGACGCGAAATCAACAACGTGTGTACATTTCCACCCGAAATACTGTTAAAGAACCTTTTACTACAAGTATGGTGTATGTATTTCTGGAAAAAGGAGCCTCGTGTGAAACTCCAATCATGTTATGTTGATGGACAGTTTTGTCATTATTTGGTGTTTCCATTCTCTCTCATATATTATAAATAAATTTATCAGATTTCAGCCTCCGAGGTGGATACAAGTCAATACTTTTTTTGGCTCTCACACCCCTGTACGTCGAACTGCTGGCGGCCATCTTGGTCTCCATCGACTCCGATGACCCGATCTACAGCGCAGATAAAATAAACCCTTAATATATTACGGTGGAACGCTCACATTAGTAATTTGATAAGACATATTTTAAAATATCTCGAAACTGAATAGATCCAGATAATTAAAATGCTAACACCGATACAGAGAATATACGTGTATCGACGTCAGATGCTAGTTTGACGCGATGTATTGCGCTGTGATCAGTGGTCAAAATTTATGTACAATTAACTGCATTGAAAACCGTTCAAAATTGATACCAACATCTGAGCAGCTGTTTTACTCTAATGGAAGACAGCATGTGGTGCAATCAACCACAGTCCCTCGTATATGGGTGTGAATCGACGTATATTGGTAACTGATGAAGAGAAAACCAGTGCGAATCAGTATACCTATTGTATTCATGGTTTATACTTGTTGAAGAAACGCCATTATGCTGTTGGCACCTCGTAAATTCGAAGAGGGGCCGGGCAGACTGACACATGTGCGTCCACAGGACAGCACGATTCACTATTACATGATCAAACATTGACACAACGACATGTATTTTTCTGCAAGTGATTCACGCGTATTTCTTTAGTACATCTACCTTCTCTCTTTCTCTCTCAATACTTAGTATTCCGCTCCCCGTTCACGACATGTATTAACAACTTAGCAACGCACGCCGTGCGTACACAACATTCAAACCGCCCATTTACGTACGCCTAGAATATCAGACAAGCCGAATTTCGTTTTTATTGTTTTCTTGGTCGTAATTCAATACTGACGTACGTGAAGTTGTACACCTGAATAGAATGCTACCGCGAAGAAGATGCAACGCCATGGCAACGACGAGCAATTTTAATGAAATGGGTCGACTGATCCCACATATTTGGGCTAAAAGTGAGAGGAATTCAGAATAGGTTGAAAGCGTTTCTTGTTACCGATTCAATATAAAATGTCAATGATGTGTTCGATGATTTCACTTGTATTTACATTGAGGCTGAATGAATTTCTGCCTGAATTGATCCTCACTGAGACTTGAATCCTCGGGTTTTGCCGTTCGATCCAATCTCAAGACTCGTAAGAATAGGAAACGTGGTCGTCGTTTTAGAGATCCTTTATCACAACCTACAATGTAGTTATTGTTTTGTTGTTCCATCGGACTCTTCTGCGCCCACTTTGATGTTGGGCCTTTTCATCGCACGCTCCGTCGACTAGGGTAGATTCAGTTGATTAGCAGTTACTGGATATTGACACGTTGTAAAGACAGTGAAGACGCATTCCGATGACCACTGTGTAGTTTTTGTTTCTAGATTGATGTGTGAATTTGATCCAGGGACAATGACGAAAACACAAGATATATACGTCGTCGTGTCAGTTACACATTTGAAGGTGGTTCGCGGAGTGACTTTAATTTACCAGTAATGTAAAACGAAAATATTGATACCTTTATGTATTGTTTAGCATGTTAAAATTAACTGAAACAAACATGGTATGATTTACCCCCCCAAAAAATACACATAACCATTGTTTTGGCTATAACCATGACAGTATTCGGGCGATGAAGTTTATGAAACTGCATGTGCCTTCGCTTTGGATGTATTTCTACTGGTACATACGAGTAATCAAACACTTGCGTTTTCTATATTCCACAGAACGGATACTGCTGTTTTTGCTTTGTTTTATTTTATTTTATTTTATAAAGTAAAAAAAAAATGATAGAGGGATAAAACAATGAATACGAGGCTGACAATTAGTTCGATTTATTATTAAATAATCACAACTAAAATACTACTAGTATTAGCCGAGTTGACTACTACAACTGACTAAAGTAAATTGATAGAAACTTTCATCGATGTTTGTTGTATTAGCTTTTCGAATTCGCTCCGCCCATATCCCGACCAATTACAGCTTCCAATAGTGAAAGGTTTCAACAAATCTCGACAATTACTAAGTACACACCATCATACAGTAAGCTTATTATAAACGTTAACTTGATCTCCCGTAAGCAATGCGGAGTATGCAGTCGTCTATGCCTCATTTGTAAGCCAGCACACTGCAGAAAATGACCTTTCCTGTTTACAAGCGACTACAATCGACGCTTTTCAACTTTTTCCACCACACCGCACCTATATCTTAACCATGTTTAACATGTTCGTTGACCTGGGTACCCATAGCCTCAAACGGTACGGGTAGTTCTCACGGACCGAGACGTGTGAGGTGTCCCACTGAAAGAAGTATCAATGCCTCGAACACAATATAGAGTGGAAACGTACACCGTCTTATCCTGCTTTATCAAAACAATATTAAGTAGCCATGTATATTTCATGAGCTTTTCTCACTTTGTTACTAGTACCTACACATAGCAATACATCATCGTATTCTGAACGACAACTACTAGACATAGTTTGACCACTGATTTTATTGACTGATTACATCGCTGATGATACGTTCTTTCGTTCATTCCTTTAACGCTACGTGCATCGACACCGCGATCTAATTTCACGTGGGTCAATATTTGTTATGCAGTGGTTGCCTGATCTTTGTTATATGCGTAATATGCATCAATGTACGTTATATAACAATAACTTTAAATGAAATAAGTTACACAAAATACTTACAACAATAACTTTAATAAATCAAACATTTACACAATATACTTTATAACAATAATGTTCAATCCAATAAGTTACTATTGGTGTGCGACTTGGAATGTAACAACAGAGTCGACACTTGTATATTATGGTATTTTTCACTATGCTGATACACGTGCAATGCATGTGACAAAGAATGATATCAAGTTTATAGCAAGACAATGCATAGCACAAATTATTAGTATAAAGGTGCCTATTTATAATCATTGTGACTCAAAAAAATACCAAAACACATACTTTATTTGTGTTCAACATCAGAACGATACACGTTTAAAGACTATTCACAGTCCTGTGCATTGTGAACATTTTTTACATTGCCATTTCATAGCTTCAAGAATTGCGCATATGCAAAAAGCATATGATGTTGCAGTACTTGAGTGACCCGATGGATGAATCGAGTCAGCCATCTTAAGTCGACTTTACAGATAAAAGTTACGTGCAACAACCTCCAGTAATGGTTACTTCTTCCACTAAGTTGGAACAAAATCAAATAACACATGGCAAAGGTTCTGGACAGTGAATTGCTCAAAGCATGCACGCGATATATGTCTAAACTAGAATTTGTCAAAAACCAAATGACCGCCAGTCAGTCATTTTATGTCCAATTCACAAATCAAAGTTACGTTCACGAACAACCCATAATGCGTAATCATTCCACCAAGTTTGAAGTAAACTGGCCAACACATGTCCGAGATCTGGTTTTTGGACAAAAAATGGCCACCAGTCGGCCATCTTTACCCGAGTCACGAAATTACCGCATGTACATATGCATTAAATAAGGTATTAATATTAACACGCGCACAGAGAGACTATTAGTAAACAGGGTACTAATAAGTTACACAAAATACTATGTATAGCACTTAAACCTGTCATTTTTGATTTCCACCAAAAGTGGCAGAAATATGGGGCATTTGTTTCCTAAAAGTGCTTTACCCGGCCAATCACCTAGCTATTGAATAAAATAATTTCATCAGTCATATGGTTTGGACGGTATCTTGGTTTTTCGGTAAAAATGACCAAAATTTGGGGCATTTGTTTCTTGTGAGTGCTTTAATCGATCAATTAGATATTTTGTATGCATCGTGTATGGCTAAAACTTATTATGAGAACAAGTTTTTGATCAGTCACATGGTTGTGCGCCATCTTGGATTTTCGGTGAATATTGACACAATTTAGGAAATTCGTGTCTCATGAATGATTCATCCGATCAACTTGATATTTTGCATGTGGCATGTATGACCAAAACATCTTTTGAGAATAATAACATAAATAGCATAAATGCATATCCAGACTCCGAACGTGGACCAGACAGAGCAGCTCCGCAGCTTTTAATTTCTTTATGAAAATTGATTTGGATGAACGCCATAACAATCATTATCCACCTACAATACACGTGTCCATCATAATTACAACAGGCATTTACTAACAATTACAGTAAATATGCATGTACTTACTCATTGCAAAATTAAAACAGCAAAACCATCAGGTCGCTTGTAACAACAATTCATTTTTGACTCCTTCTTCCACAAACTACCAGCTCAATTGCTTTGATTCTTGGTAAGCACGTATCATGCGTTGACCTCTGTCCGTTTTGTTCATTTTGTGGTGAAATCTTCTGAACGAGCATTTTGTTCATTTTTGCCAATAAAATGCTATTTCCGGCTTCTACTTGAAAACTACCAGATTAATTGCTTTGATACTTGGTAAGTAGGTACTATGGAAGGATCTCTATGAGATGTGTAACAATATGATAACAAGTGCAAACACCATGCAAACTTCCACGGTTGTGATGTGGCAAGAACATTGTCGAAACAGTTACCATGGCAATTAGATAACATCACATCGCACTGAACATTATCAACTTTATATATTGCATTTGTGTGACAGACGTGAAGAACGATTTCATTCAACATTTTTGCCCAAATTTGAAGTTCTCGCAGAAATATATTTGAAAGTGGACAATTTTGTTTATAGATCACTATTACTTATTTATTAACTTATATTCGAAGTTTCATTGCTGACCGTGTACCTTTAACAACTTACTCCACTGATGTTCTTAAACTAATGTCCTTAAACTGGCCAGTTCCAGTAACAGTCAAGCAACCAATCACTGCTCGTCTTATGAATAGACAATCAACAGCATCTTTTTACCATCATATTCGAATCAAACGTCACACACTCTTAACCTGTTCACCACCAGTTCACTCTTTTCATCACAAATTCACAAAGCAGTCTTATTTATAGTCAGTACTTTCTTCCAGGAGATCGGGGCAAAAATAGCCATATATTTTTGAGTAAAAACTGAAAATTGACTAAAATTTTGTCTGTTGGTTCTAAAATTAGGGATCATTTCCAGAAATATTGAAGAATATAAGAAAAGAGTGCAGACAATTTGGGCAAGAAAGTCTGGTAGGGAAAAGGTTAATGAAATAGCCATATGCATGCACAGTGCCAAGACATTGGTTCTCAAAATATGACCAGTGCTTAGTACGTGCCCCGGCATGCGACGTATAGAGTGCGCGCAATAGACATATTGTTTGTTTACACGAAATTCAATCACGTGCTGTCCAGCTACGGCTGTTTTTTTCTTTATTGGCCGCAATACTGCGTTAATGTTCCCAGTCAACTATAAATACGTATATTGTTATATGGAGCAACTCGCTTGGAGTATAATGTAATGTAATGTAATGTAATGTAATGTAATGTAATGTAATGTAATATAATATAATGTAATGTAATGTAATGTAATGGTTATAGTTGTATAAGTCGTTTAAATTCACCCCCACACACACTTAGAGCGTTACGTTGCGCAAAAGACGAACCTGAAAGGCGACTGATTATGTTCTCACAGTATACATTCATGTACGTATTCATTATTTGATATTTGTTGTCGCTTTTCAGGGACCAGAGAGGCTGCTTTTGTCCATGCTATTTCGTCGGCCGGTGTAGCTCATTCCGTCACCACAGCGTGCAGCAGCGGCGAGCTCGAAAAGTGCGGGTGCGATGCAAGTGTGACTGGAAACAGTCCTGACGGTTTCCAATGGTCCGGATGTTCTGATCACATCGATTATGGCAGTATATTCTCTAAGGAATTTGTAGATGCGAGGGAAAAAAGAGGCAGGAAACAACCAAATAATAGATCGCTTATGAATTTGCACAACAACGAAGCCGGGCGAAGGGTAAGTGTCGAACACGCTTCAAAATTTATTAGGAGGAATTCAGAAGTGCAATATTAGATAGAGACTACGCAGCTATTTCAAAATATGCTGTGACAGTCCAAGAACGTTTATTAAGCAATGCATGAGTGCACTGCACGTGTATATGAGTCTGCAGTCTTTATTTCCATATTATTTGCATACTCAAATTCGGACCGGTGGATCCTATGCGCGAGATCTACATTATGGATATTCATAATATACACGAAGAATCATTTAGCTAACAAGCCAATGACCGGCATCGTGTTCCAAATAGATTATTTGAAAGCGTGTCTGTTACGTCGCCTGTTGTGTGATATTTGTGTTCGAAGCAAGCCTTTGCTGTATAGTTTCTTTTTGCACAGTAAAAGTGGTCAATGACCGGACATGCTATGTTTGTACATGGAATATGCGTTGTAACGTTTTCTATTGCGACAATATACTAGTTGATTTTATCTTGTTGATCATTCTCGGAACATTGTACAATCTCCGCCAAGTTTGATATGCGTTGTATCTTTTATAGCATTTTGTTTTAACAGTGGGCACTTTCTATTATAATGTCTAAAACAATGCATGGGCGTGGTTGGGGGCAAGGCGTAAAACATGAGCGAGGACTGTAACAACGGACAAGGTCTATAACAATAGTTATATGCCTCCAAGTAAGCCGTTATCAATGGGCGAGGTGTATAACAGTGGGCGTGGCCTAGAACAACAGGCGAACGTGGGTGTGGTTGTTCGTATCTGAAAACCAATCTGAAATTGGCGAATTGTCGCCAGAAAAATTTAACATTGGCGTCTATGTTTTAGTCCCAAATCCTGTTTTCTTGTGGTTTTGTACACCAGTATTTTGTCTTGTATATGCACACTAAATAGAGAGAAATATGTGTGTGAATGGGGGGTAACCATTAGTAACTAGTTTATTTGATCGCAAAATGTGTGATTACTAAGAATAAAACAGCACATAAAATATGTTCAATCACATAATGACATATTTTGTGATTACACAATAAATCACGACCGCTATTATAAGGTGAAACAGTAGCGATTCATTATTAGAAGTAGGAATGATTGAAAAAAAGAAATACATTGAAAGAATTTACATAACTAAAATTACCATATTTGAAATGAACATGTTATAATACTAAAGTCAGACTACAGTCATACAATAATGAGTCTCATTTGGAAATCTGTAATTGACATTTCGCCATAAATCACTTCAAACATATTACACACTGGCTCCATTTATTCGACTCTTGGCCCGTCTATTAAATATTCATATTCAGAGCAATATCTGTTCACGTTTCTCACTCACACCGCCGTGACCCCAGTCGTCGGCCGCGATATGACCTCCTCGTTTTAATATTCCAACTCATGCGTCGGAATGAAACGAGGGAACGACAATTAAACTATAAAGTGCATTGGGACAGCACGTTATTATTATGTCTGTTTTTTATGGAAGATCTCGAGACACCGGAACTAAGAACACATTCCTTGTTAGGATTTCTAACTTTTTCAAAGACCCTTTTGGTAGATTACTCCCATTTATTGCTGAATGATAACTGACGGCGTCCACGACACGCAGCCATAGCACTCACTTATAGCGAGCCTGTTCTAATTTGCATATTTATGTATATTACACATGCGCATTTGGATAACGCGTCACGTTGACGGCCAGCCATGAGCAGTAAACTCAGGGGGCGGCTGTCATTAAAGAGGAAATAACAAGAATATAAAAGCAGTTTATTGTCCCCGTTTAATGTTTTTGATGGGTATTCTATTTCAACTACATGTACTTTGAACCAAACTAGAACTTCGTCGTTTAGTTAACCTGAACTTTCACCTTCAATCGGTTTCATATATTTAAAAAAAAGTAAAACATTTTTTTTAGTGTTAGTGTTTATTAAAACATGTTTCTCCGTCGTCGAAGGTTCTCGATTTCATTCATATTACTCACTCTCACTCACAATCTAAAATTAAATGGGTAAAATATGAACTTAATTGCTGTTCAATTACAACAGTTTTTCCAATTAAAAAAAGGAGTAGCTGATTTGGAATAGAATATTTGTAATCATCATTCGCTTCTCCCATAACAAGCCGTTGAGGGCAGTTGTCATCATTGACAGCGTGAAGGAACAACACTTCTCCACTCCGACAATCCTCTGAGCACGTTCTAACCTCTTAAATTAAACCCTGAATTCTATTGCGAATTCTAATTATATGTCTTCACAAAAATATGCTTGAATGTTTCTAGGCTTATTTGATGCGAGTGATTCAATAATTGCTTTAACTAAGTAAAAAAGTTCTCAAGATGGAAGAATATGTTTTGAGTTCGGGTAACAGACATGACTCCGCTTAACATGTAGGCTTCAATAAGATTCATGCGCCATAGTGGAAATGATGTCACATTCATTATTTTCACATATTCGACATTTCATGCTACACGGATCACTAAAATAAATTCACATGGTGTTGACTAATAATGAAACGATTAATTACGAAAGATTCTGACACAAAGTAGTGTAACTGTTATATACTTTTGAAACATTCATTCTACCGACATTAAGTTTCACCAACTCTTGCTGAAATATTAGTAAATAATCTCTGGCTAGTTAAAATGAAACGTTTAGTGTCAACTCCAAATACGGAAAAACCGTATTCGATCCGTCTCAACCGTTTCGTCAAAGTTTGGTAGCAGTGGCTTTTGACAGTTTTCATTTCGGCTTTTGTTTTCAGTGTTGGACGATATGGTTGGGCGCAGTGAGAACAGTGCAAACATATGGGGTGTATTGAGGGGGTAATCTGAATTGAACGCTACTGAAAACACGAACAGTGCGGTTATTATGGCGAACATGGACCATGATCAATCACCAACAAACAATTCGACCGCAAGGGTTCGCTGGGGTCATGTTGCCGTAATGAAACGAATAAAAGAAATTCACGTGAATGGACACACGACTGGCGTCAAAACAGATTTTCTGTTTCCTTTGTATCTCTGCAAAGCATGATGGAAAATGTGTCAACTTCAAACCCTCGAAAAAATTGGGGTATTTATAAAACAAACTAAATGTTTTCCCCAACAACAACCTTGAAAAAGACTTTTAAAGCCGTCACGGTGCGCGTTCTGTTTTTCTATCCTCTGATTCCATTGATTTTTTTCTCGTGAAATTTGATGAAAAATAGTCAAGGTGACTTTGAACGTGATTGAAAATAACCCCGGAAACGGACCCCACATGTGTCTAGTAATCATTCAAATTGTTAGCCCCTGACCAATTTCAATTAAGACTCTCCCACCGCCCCTCCCAGGTATGATGGATTAGCCCAGTTGCCAATGTTGGTGTTCACCAACCCGCGTAAATATTATACACCAACACATCGTAAAGTATTACACATCGGTGTGGCATTATAACTGACGCAAGGTTGTCTAGAAAACACGGAACCGATACCAGACCGGAATTACGTCGTAACGAACACATATATAATACAGTAAATTTAATGAAACACGTGTCTTGGCCGATCCCTTCATCCTAATTATAATGCCAAGTTTACCTTAAGTTTAAGTTAAATTTTATTCAAGTTATTCAAGAATGATTTTAATTAAAAGACAATCCTAGTTAATTGAGTTGCTCCACAGAACTCGGTTATGGTTCCGCATTTTATAGACAACCTTAACGTGCGAGTCAGAGTATTCGGACTGAAAAGGGATCTTGAAAGTGCCATCTCCCAGGGAAATAACCACTTGTCTATTTTGCAGCGATATACTTCTGTTGGCCAAATCGTTGATGATAATAACAAAATATATAGTAATGACAAATATTATTATGGTATCTCAATATTGCGATATTAATATCGGGCGACTAAATTATTCTTTGACAGTGACGTTTTGTCATAACGTGAAGCAGCGGTTAAATATTTGAACACATTGGGCTTGGCTAAAAGAGTATGACCAATGCAATTTTTCGCTATGTCTTACCTGCACATTTATATTTTTCTTGAATGTGCCACCTTCATGCATTTTTTTCTCTCTCAATATCTAGCTTACATTTTTTGTTTAGAAAACTAATCTTCTGGCCACCCGTTTAATTTCGAATGATCGCCCCTTAGTGTATCCACAGTCACTCCTAGTAGAGTGACTGTGGTGTATCAGGCAGCGGCAACTGCAAAACAGGTCCCACTCCACGTACAGTTCGTGTTACCACATTGGATCAGCCAATCAGAGATCATTGTTATGGATGATAAGAGTAACTTCAAAAACATTTTTGAAATAAGTATAAACCAGCCTGGATTTGAAGCATGGTTAATAACATCTTCGCCAGCCAAGGAACGTTTGTTTCGGGTCACCCTTCCAAACCTATCCTTGGCAGATTGAACCACTGACTACAGTGTGTATTTAATAGGCGCCATTTACGACAAGAATGGGAGATGCGACAAAAATAAACAGCCAATCAGCTATCTTGTATCAAAATACAGTAGAGCGGTTTTTTTTAAATGGCGACCCAAGCAGAACAGATCACGCAGTTTTTCAAGATAAAAAAACCCACGTTGAAACACTTCCTGCAACGCAAAATGAAAACCTAATATGTCAAAAGTGTAAGCAAGCAAAATTGAAATCTGGAAAGGTTCTATTTTCCATTAGTTATAAATTTGTCCGCGAACTTCGCTACGGTACAGTTTCTCAACTACGACCTTGTTCGCCAGGTAGGATTAATTAATATGCATATCACGTGAGTAGTAGAACCAATCAGCTTATGTATTGCCGAAAAAAAGCAGACTATATTTTCTCACTCCACCAAGTAAGTCAGTTCCCTTCACTATTTCCAATAATCTTCCATTTGCTTGTATTATTTCTTACAGACAATTGAATCCAATATGAAAATCCAGTGTAAATGCCATGGCGTGTCTGGCTCGTGCGAGACGAAAACTTGTTGGCGAGCATTACCTACCTTCCGAGAAGTGGGAGAAAAACTGAAAGAAAAATTTGACGGCGCCACCGAGGTACGGACTGGTCGCATCGGCAGCCGTCCACAACTTGTCCCATTACACCCGTATTTCAAACCACATACCGACGCCGATCTAGTATATTTGGACGAGTCGCCCGACTTCTGTGAGAACGACCTCAAATCAGGGTCGTTGGGAACCACGGGTAGACGTTGCAACAAGACATCGAAGGCCATCGATGGATGCGATTTAATGTGCTGCGGACGAGGATACGACTCGTATACGGAGGAGCTGGTGGAAAGATGTAGCTGTAAATTCCATTGGTGCTGCTATGTAAAATGCAAGAAATGCAGGAGAACGGTACAGATCAACATTTGCCGGTAAAATAGCGAGCGCCTCCACCTACATTGAAGTTTTCTCCTTTCAAACATTTCTAGAAATACCGTGACTGCTGTTATTATTCAGACTGCTTTAGCATCGGATAGTGACACCACTTCGTATTGTGAACAAAATCATTCCTGTAATATACATGTAGCATATGACACCGTGCTATAACTATACTCTGAATACTTGTTTTTAGTTGAAAAGTCATTTTATGTAATAGTGTATATACTACTAATTCCGTATATGGAATTAATTTGCATAAAATTCCATGATGCACCGCGAGTCGATTGCTTGTCGTATTTGTATTGGAGTGCGATAACCATAAAATATGTACACATTACTTGAAGAGAAACTGAATGTTATAACATGTCGCCAAATAACTCTTGAATGTATGTCATACATATTTTGTGTTTGGCATATTGGTTCTCCAGATTTTAATTAATATTATTAATTTTCGTCATTTTTATTAGCGAATAGAGAAATAAGATATATTTATAATTATGATATTGGAAGGGAACTTTCAAAAAAAATATCATTTGAGCACATTACGGTCAGTTGAATGTATATATGTGTGTATTGGTATGGTTTAATATACGTAGAGTACCGAGGTTTGTCGATCGGGTCTGCTTAGTATACCCATGCTCGTTGAATCGACGCAGATTTCAGTGTGTCTTTTAGATCGAGGCATAGTTTGTACGAATCAGGTAAAATACGATTTTTTTCAACTTTGCTGTTATATGAAAAAATGTAAAATGGGCACATTTTTTTTTGTGCTCCGGTAATTTGGTCAGTATTATTACACAGTGAAGACAAATAATGTTTTATGACGTCACGCCTATGTGATCTCCACCCAGAAGTATTTAAACACAAATTTGTATTTTACTGTAAAAGAATATTTATAATGTGTCATTTCTGTTACATTTTAAAGACGATTGTTGCTTTAAACAGGTTTACTGTGGTTATAGAGGCTTAGTGTTTAATCGGCATACTGGGTGTTGTGAGTCGGAATATATGCAGCGCCATCATTCGGGGTTAATCAATAATGACACCGAGGGCGCTGTTGAAGTTTATATTTGTGCTTGGCCTTTAAGTTATTTTGTTTAGAGTGACGACTAGCTGAAGCACAGTAGTGGTTAATTCAAATTTATTGTAATAAATTCAGGTCTTTATAAAACATAAACAACACTTCTGTCTTTTTTTTATTCGTAATTTTATACCATTAGCTACAGCATCATAGTGACGCACGCCACATAACTTGGAACGCGCAAGGAGTAATCAGTAGTATTTCTGGTAAAATACAAGGATTGAGCTCTCAGAGTGTTCCAATCCGTAAAACCTTAGACAAACGAGAAACTAAAAATACAACAACGTTCCTATGATATTCAAAGACTTCAAAGTAAGTCCATATATTATCGCGCCCCTATAAAAAGACGATTTCAGACAGACAAATACTAATCGCGTCTTTTTTTCTTTTGAAATTTTTTTTGATAGTTATTGTCGGGCACTTATGACAGATGCACACCTCGTTCCATACCAATGTTGTTTTTACCTTTTTCAAACTCTGCGAAAAACAACAACAACATTTAGAGTCTTCATCAAATGACGTCATCAAATTGTATCTATTGTTTGATGCTTTCTTTCGCCTATTGTCTAACTTCTCCGCAATATAAACCAGCAGGTCGGTGTAAGCCTGTTGTCCCGAGTGGGAGGGGGGGATGCTTACTTTCTAATTTGTAGTATATGCGGCGCTGTTTTGACCCTCATTTTCACGGATGAGCCGATCTTTTTTTACCCCTAATTTCATATATTCGGCTATTTTAATAAAAAACGCCAATTTGTTGTCCATGTTAATCTGGAAACGGACTCAAATTGAGCGCAGTGCTGAAAGAGAAAGTTATATCACTGTTGGGTGCTGATGACAAGCTAGGATTTCATCGAGGTAATAAGAAAGTTATCGACGGTTGATTATAAAATATTATTAGAAATGAACAGAAAAGAAATTGAAAGATATTTGATATTTAATGATTTGAAGGATATATTTGAACGTGTCAAAGGGCGCGCGCATTTGTGCTTTGCAAATACGCATGCGCAAATTGACGCTCTTGATGGATTGTCTTAAAGGAAAAGTCAAGGCTAACAACAGAATACTCCCAGATTAAAGAGCTTGGAAAATGTAAAAACATGCAATTTTTCACTTTTCATTCTCTAGATATTCAACTTTTTCTTACTTTATGTCGTCCACCATCTTGATTCTTCAGCAAAGGATTATGGGTAAAGCATGTCATCATATCCACTGTTGTCAGAAATTGAGAAATTGATTTCATCTATAACTTCAAGTTGAATTTCAAATTAGCTGAAAGTTTAGAACATGATAACATATATGTACCGGTACCAAACTTGCATATAAAATAGTTGTCATGGTAACAGAAATGAAAATATTAATTTTTGTATTTTTCTACAAGTAATCAATGCAAGTAGGTTATATAGGTGATATATAACCTGTTGACCACAAAACGGAGACAAAAAGTATAATTCTATTTTAACAACTAAAATAACCATTTTGAATGTTTCACCAATTTTGGCAATGTGTATTTGTAACATGCTAATTTCTATCACTGTGATTATATGCATGAGTAATATGCACACCGAAAATTTTAACTAATTCACATCAGTATTTCTCACCTTACCTTTTTCTCAATTTTTCACGACAGTGGATATGATGTCACACTTTACCCACAACTTTTTGCTGGAGAATAAAGATGGCGCACTACATAGTATTGATGAAAAGTTGAATATCTAGAAAAAGAAAAGTGACATAGAAACTGTAAATTGCATTCTCCTACATTTGTGGAGCTCTTTTTTTAGGTTGCATTATGTTGGTTGTCTTGACTTTAAAAGTATGTGATATGATATCTTCAAAGTTACGTAACTCCGTAACTAGGCCTAGTTGTTAACGGAAAACCCCATGTTCATTTTATGTGTTAATATCGAGCTATTAGATCTGAAACGAAGCTTATCACATTAGATTTCGCGACATTAACTGAATGGTCACCTGTTATCACACTTAAAATAAGAAGTCAGTTTTCTAAAATAAACATACAAAAAACGTTTCACAGATAGACTGTACGACATTGTATACTGCTATAGCCCCAAAATATCAATATTCCATCTCTAAACAAAAATGATACAAACGTCGACGAAGAGGACAGATTTGTATCGGCGAATTTGGAGGACATGCATCATCATTCCATTAGGTGATTTGATAGCACCACACTAACGAGTCTGATTTCTGTCTTCCCTCCCTTAATATAACGTGATACTCCTAACAATTTATCTTTACCCTACATTGATGTGAATTCACAAACAATCCTAATTTAGGAGACTATTAAATCCACACAGTACAAAAACTTTAAATTAATTAAAACCCGTATTTCAATTTTGTTCCAAAAATACGGTTGACTTCAACTGTCAAAACATTTACAGCTACAGACATCCCACTCTCCTCAACTCATGATCTATACACTTTCCAAATATCATCCGCTATGCTGGTTTTTCTCTTTAAAGATTGAAAAACTGATAAGAAATCGTCTTACCTCAAAATTCTTCAGGTTATTATGATCACACATGACAAACGTGTAGACCTAATACTCTAGACTTATACCTAGCATCACACACTTCACTTCCATACAGTAGAATTACTCATTGATTTCACCGTGTACTGTAGTATAGCCAACGTATTTATCGGTTGTCTATATCATCTGTTGTGGACTTGTAGACAACTGATTGTATAATTCAAAGTTTACAAGTGGCGATATATTATATATATAAATAATTCGAGATTCTGTGATTTTTTAATTGGCGATGCAAGGATTATCTTCTTGGTGCGTGATTTCTAACAAATCATTACTGTCATCTTTATTTTTTGTTGAAATCTGGGTAAAAACGAAAATGAATGAAATACATTTATCAACTTTTTTTGTTCATGTATTCATATGGTTCCAAGTACAAGGACTATCAAATTCTATTATATGACCATCAAAACAAGAATCTTTGAATCCAGCATATACATCCAAAGCCAGGACCTAATCTAATGGTTTGTCTAGAGCTTCATCTAGTGGTTTGTATTGCGCACCATCTATGGATTTGACCTAGAGGTTTTCCACGGCATAATGGTTTGTCTAGGGTTTTATATAGCAATTCGGCCAGAATTAATCTAATGTTTTTTTTTGTATTTTATGACTTTATTGGTTAATCTTATACATACAGTAAAAAATTCAGAGTTTTATAAAAGTTACATTTCTATGTATTTGTTTTCAGTTTGATTTTCCAATGTATGTTATAAATGGTATTAGTGGCTTTCATTTTTTGGTAATGTAGCATTTTGTTGTTTGTATTTGCAATAAAGCTTTCACAATGGTATACTCTCTTTATATATGGTAGCAACCCTTAAAGTTGGGTTTCATGTAATTCATTTTACAGTGATAGATATGTTTTCGTGTTAGCGGACCAACAAAGTATGCTATCAATGATTCACCTAGATCTGGGATTATCAGACATATTCTACTTGGTGGAAACAGTATATTCACATTCATAGAAAAGATGTTCAGTGCTCTCATGGTTTTCATGAAAAAAATTTACACATCTCTGTGGGAAATTTCCCTGGATTTATTTTATGAAGTTTCTCATTAGTGTAAACAATGTTGTACAGAAGTTTAAGCTGGAGTTCCCTAATGTTACTATCAACTGACATTTTCATCATTAATTTACACATTTTCTGCCAGTCTATAAAACATAGGTTCAACATCTCTTCAATTTTCTTCTGACTCACCGGGGGAACAAACCCTCTACTTTTGAGATCATTTGTTATACTCTGCTTTGTAACCAATTCAACTGGTGATTGAATTCCTGATATTGATAAACATATTTCATCAATACCTTGGTTTCTAAGCTTCAAATTTTCTGGAATGGCATCTCCTAAACCAATCCATTTCAGTTTTTTAGTTAATGAAAGTTTCCCATGTGGTATTGTTCCCCATGGTATAATGTCTTCTCCAATAATTCTGACAATCTATTTATATAATCTTTTGCTGAAGGACAAAATATCGGTTTCCCCCTATTTTTATATTTTCATTGTTCCAGATAATCTGATTTGTATCTGTATCGTACTTTTTTGTTTTACTTTCCCAAGTTTCAACGCATTCCCACAGGAAGCCTGTACAGTTGATTGGCAATAGTTTTGTTTTAAAACTACATTTGAAGATGATGTTTTCCCCTATGCTCTCAAGGTGTTTTTCAATAAATAACTTATATGGATGCATCTTGTCTGGATTCACATAGTTTTTCACACTTAGTAGCCTTTGTTGTTTTTTCATGGTATAAAGTTCTTGCATCCCAATCCCCCTTGGCCTACGCCCTCATCATTGTTTCTCGAGCAACCGTGTCTCTTCCTATAAGAATTCTTACATAATTTTTGAGCCTCTTGTATTACATTAATCCCGATTGCAATAATTGATCTTGATATAAGTAAACTGAGATATTCCATATGATTTAATAATTTGGAGTTTTTTGGGACAATTTCCTATTTTTCCATGATTTTAATGCAGATTTCAAATTGTCCATATCTATGTTAATATTTATTTTTCTATTTTCTTTTGGTTTATTCCTACTATTTTGATGGGAGACGTGGGCCATTTAACCCCGAACAGCCTGGATACCATTTACCTAGCCACACTGTTTCTGTTTTTTACTTATTAACCCTCAATGCCGAGCAATTTACAAACTCCCTCAGCACTTTTAATAGCTCCCTCAGCACTTTTAATAGCTCCCTGGCAGATTTACAATTTGAGATGAAGCAACACAAATCGTCTGCAAATGCTTTCCTTACTAGTTTGCCGAAACCATCAATCCTGTTATTTCATTGTTCAATTGCCACTAGTTTCAAGCACCAAACCACAGAGCATTGGGGACAGGGAATTTACTCCCCTTTCCACCTCACAATAATCCGTACTGAACCCGTTGTTCATGACACAGCATTCCACATTAGTATATAAGGACTTTACCCATTTCTGAAACTGTGGGCCAAACTGACTTTGTTTTGCTGCACTATTTGACTGTTCTGAATAGTGCTATACCTCATCAATCAGTTTCACATAGTCACTTATATTTCAGCCTTTTTACAAA